GTCCTGACTGCAATCCGTTTCTGGGGCTAATATGGTATTACAATTGTAGCGTTCAAGGGCCTCACTATGGCCACATCGAAGTATTTCTCCATGGGCAAAGACGTAACCAACGCAGCGCTCATTGCCTTTTCCAGCGTGATGGGCAAAGACTCATTGAAGCCGTCAGGTATATGTTTCTTTCTCGGGTTTAACCTTCAACTAATGCATAGACTACGAACAGCGCTAAAGATGCATTAGGCACCCAGAATGGCATTTCCTCCACTCTTGGTACTTACTTCTCGGCCTGGACTGGCATGGGGAGTGGATATATCACCTCAATCTTTACCGGAGCGAGTGATGATACGTCAATTGACGTTCTGAAGACCCTGACTTCCAACGGCTCAATGCTTCTACTTTCGCCTAAAGTGGACTTGAGTGGGATGACCTACCAGGCGCAAAAGATCCTTTACGGACAGTTGATTCCGGCAGCTTGGGCCCCATTCCCTGACACCTTCTATCCCCGGATCCTGTAAGAATGACACCCTTGCATGTTTTACAAATGTTGAAGAGAATTTACTAACCAGTCACCTTTGATTGGCAGGCGGAAGGCTGCAGGTTGTTCTAAGTCAATTGACCAACAAATTCTGGGTCTCATGGATGATAGCACTCTAGTCGGCGGGTATGTCTGCTACAACAACGATGCTTTCTATGTCATCAGTGTCTCTACCACTCAGGCCGACGCGCCATTCAAGGCCCTCCCTGGAGGAGAGCATCAAACCCTTAATGGCGAAGCCTGGGGCGGTGTCACGCTGGAAGATATCGTCGAGAGCTCGTACCAGGCATACCGGCTGAATGGCAACACGAATGGCTATGAAATGCCAACTTTTTTCAAAGCTTATTGACGGGGGGCACAGAGGGCGATGTGGTTTTCGAGAATGGAATCCGTGCCCCGGGATTCTTCAATCTGCCAATCTGCGATAATATCGGTCGAGCAGTCGCCGCTATCCAGTCTAAGGAAACCCCAAGTGGGAAATACTGGCCCTGCGATGCACCAGAAGGATCTAATGCTGGTGGAACTAATGTGGTGCGTGTCCGACGAAATCAAAGCACATAGTGTGCTTCTGCTAATATGAAACCATAAAGCACGTCAATAACGGATACATCAATGTGAATGGTCAGAGCCTATGGAAGTCCCAGACCAAGTACACCAGTATGTTCCATGACTCTCAAGATCTCCTTCTGTGTAGATTGGTATCTCACAAGACAACAGACATCGCAGATCAAAGTACCGGCAACATTACCGCGACCATCTATGCGCAGTTCGACGGAGACGACAAGACAAGCTATAAGGTTACTCCTGGTTGCAAGCTGGAATGTGTCTGGCCACGAGCCTATGGGGACGTCTACTTTGGATACAATAACTGTCTGTATGTTTCAACTGGCACGAATATCGACGGTCAATGTTGCACTGAGACGACCATGGACTCGGTTGTCAACCGGTACTATGGATATTAGGTGGGAGTGTTGGTGTGAACTGTAGGTAACACCGAAGCCGTCATTTACTATAGGGGGTGTATGCGTGTATTCAAGCTGTGTATGAGAGAAAGTTGACGTATTCTCATTACTGGGATCTCAGAGAAATCATTTGAACTCTCACACTGCGTTGAATCATCTGGATCATGGCCACTTCGTTCTTTCTAATTCAGAGGAATGAATTGATTGTCCTTGTTCTAGGGAAAATACCAAATACTATATATGCAATATGAGACCCAATCGATGGCAAAATCGGGCTGTTTTGTATCAGTCACGCAGGAATTTCTTTCCGGTGTTGCATTCCTGATCAGCCCTCATACCGCGACTTAAAGAACAAGACTCAATAAACACAAGAAACACAATAAATGAGCAAAAAAGAAATCTCAGGTCTGGTTTGTAGGAATAGCCGAACGCGGGGGTCGAACCCGCAGCCTTAAGATTAAGAGTCTTACGCTCTACCGATTGAGCTAGCCCGGCCGGGCTGTTGATGGCGAGTCGAGGAGGAAATTATTTATACTTATCCTACAGTACCATTTAGGGTAATAGTCTAAGATGTGACCATTCAAAGCATCTTCTGTTGAGATGCTGTATTCTGTGTTAGTATTACATAGATACAAGCCAGAAATATCGTGGACAGTCTGCTGCCCTGAGATTAAAGCCAATTCTCTGACAGAGCGGAACTACGGGGTAATTACTCGGCAGTTGATAATAGAGAATCCCCTGCCAGGGACCGAACAGAAACAGGAATTGATCGGCAATTGGCGAGCACCTGCAGAGACAAAATGCGGAGTTCCAATTGCGGGGGAATGATTCGAGGAGTTTGCCGACGATGCGGGTTCGTCGCCTACCGGAAGATCATGACGGGTTTTACAATGCGATTTGTTCGGACATATAAGCCGCGGATGGATGACCGGATGACTTGACATTTACTTTTTTGAAACCATACATAAATATTTATACTACTTCCAACATGCAAATACAAGGTACAACTACCTAAACTCCACCGATTGTAGAGTATGCATGCTCACCTATACAGAAAACAAAAACAATGACCTGGCCGAGATCATCAATCGCTACCGGCCAGATCTAAAGCCGTTCGAAGACGTCTATCGCCACATACACACCAATCCCGAATTATCAGGTCAAGAACAGCAAACAGCCAAGATAGCATCCGACCATCTGAAATCTATCGGATTCGAAGTCCACAACAAAATCGGCGGCCATGGCGTGGCAGGAGTCCTCCGAAACGGCACGGGCCCAATAATCCTCCTACGGGCGGATATGGACGCATTACCCGTAGAAGAACAAACCGGCCTACCATACGCAAGCACCCGCCAAGTCAAAGACAGAACCGGAGCCGACAAGCCGGTAATGCACGCCTGCGGACACGATTCCCACGTCGCAACGCTAATGGCCGCCGCGACGCTCCTGCAATGCGCGCGCGACCACTGGACCGGAACCTTGATCTGCATCTTCCAGCCCGCCGAGGAAGACCTCGACGGCGCACAGGCAATGCTAGATGACGGGCTATACGACAAGATCCCCAAGCCGGAGCTTGTGCTCGCGCAGCATGTAACGCGGATGCGCGCGGGGACGGTCAATCTCCGTGCTGGCCCGCTGCTTACGGCCGCCGACGCCTTTAACGTGCGCGTATTTGGCCGCGGGGGTCATGGCTCGGCGCCCCATACGACCATCGATCCGATTGTCCTCGGGGCGGCGATCGTTATGCGACTGCAGACTATTGTCTCGCGAGAGGTCGCGCCTGGCAAGTTGGCTGTTGTTACCTGTGGTAGTATTCATTCTGGGCAGTCGCCGAATATCATCCCGGCGTATTTGGATTTGCAGTTGAATGTGCGGACTTATGATAAGGAAGTGCGTGAGCGTGTGTTTGCTTCTATTCATCGTATTATTGAGGGAGAATGTCTGGCGGCCGGGGTTGAGCAGAAGCCTGAGATTAAACTTACTTATTCGACTCCGTCGACGATTAATGATGGGAAGACCATTGATGCTCTGCGTGAGACTTTCCAGCCGTACTTTGGTGATCGGCTTGTCGATGCGGAGCCCCCGACTGCTAGTGAGGACTTTTCGTTGCTGGCGACTGCTGTGGGAGCACCTTATGTTATGTGGATGTTTGGTGGAACTGATCCTGAGATTTGGGATGATGCTGTTGCTAAGGGCACTGTCGATGAGCTGCCCAGTAACCACTCGCCGTTCTATGCCCCGGTTATCCAGCCGACATTGCGTGCGGGTGTGGATGCCATGGCACTTGGGGCTTTGACTTTCTTGAAGAAGAAACGAGTCTAGATAGTAGTAGTTTGCATTAAACCATTCAAGTATCCCAATATATAATTTTACTCCCTGACGCTAACATGTAAAGTGAGACAGAGCGACGGTACCCCATGTTGGGCTACTCCTAACCTTAGAACACCCTTTTAAGATCAACTCTAAAGGGTATGTATATAGCTATTAAATAATGTCAACTGGGTAAGGTACAATCCTTTATCTCAGATAGCTAAGGGGAGACATAGCAAATGCTTCTCAAGCAAAGTAGAGTAGGACGTTTTCATAAGACTCAAATCGTCAATTTCACCTTTGAAAAAGTCTCCGTAATGTGAACGTTGATTTTAGCTTAGGCTTTGATGGGCAAGAGAGCGAATTTGCCTTGGTAAGAAGATAAGGCGAGGGATACTTCTTAAGCCTGCTTTCGATGTCATTCGTGATCTCCTTCTTCTCTTCCTCCAGAAGGTCGAAGCCCCGAAAGTTGATACAGCACCAGCACTTCGAAGTGCAATCGCCGCTGCCTTTCTTCCTTTCAGAAGATGCCTCTATGCACAGCATCCACACCCCCGGCTACAACATCCGCCTCAATCCGAGCAATCCTGAACCATTTCTTCACACATAAACCAGGCAGCATTATCCCTTATGTTATATGATAAACGTCTCTGAAAGCCGGTGGAAGCATAGACTCCGCTCGGTAAAGGGCTTGCTCTTTTTTAGATATTGTCTTTTTGCATTTTCGAGCTGTTTATTTGCTTTTTCAAGTCGGGTCCTATCGGAATCGGGATCGAGAGCTACGGCCTTTTGTAAAGCTGTAGCCCTATGGTTTAGCGTTTCCTTACGCTGCGTTTGCTCACGTAGAGCGTGCTCAATAATAATTAAATCGGTGGCAAGGTGCCGTTTAAGGTGGCCAAAATCCTTTGTTAAATAGTCAAAATAGTCACGGTAAGATGAGTGGCAGTAATGAAATAGGTCGTATGCCCGGAGAATCCCATATTTCTTTCACGGAAGGATTATGAGAAATGGTAAGAAAGACTGTTGAAAAACTGGGAGATAAAGAATTTTCCAATATTTTAACCTGAGGTCACCAGGGCAAAATAGACTCGGGGAAAAAGGGACTTGAATTCTGGAGGTCATCAATTGCCCCAAAAAAGTGGCAACACCATCTCCCAACGACATCACAACAGAACAAAATACATATCCAACACAAAATGGCATCTGTCCAACTACCCCCAGAAATGAAAGCCTGGCTCTACTCCAGCACAACCAACGGTCTAGAAAAGAATCTCAATTTCGACGCGTCGGCACGCGCGCCACCAGCCGTCCACGGCAACAATGTCCTAGTCCAAGTCCTCTCAGCCTCCCTGAACCCGGCCGACTACAAAGTCCCTGAAATGGGACTAGTAGCACGCAGACTCGTGATCGGCACACCCGCCTCACCGGGAATGGACTTCTGCGGACGCGTGGTGGTCACCGGCGAAGACGCGACCGAGTTTTCACCCGGCCAGCTCGTGTACGGCTGCCTAAGCAGGCCCAGCCAATTCGGCTCGCTGGGCGAGTACCTCGTGGCGTCTGCGAGTTTGCTTGCGCCCGTGCCAGAGGGCGTGGAGGTTGATCACGCGGCGTCAATTGGTATTGCGGGGCAGACGGCGTACCAGTCATTGGCTGGATACGTCAATGCCGGCGATAAGGTGTTCATTAATGGAGGCTCTGGGGGATGTGGTATTTTCGCCATTCAAATTGCTAAGGAGATGGGGTGTCATGTTACGACTACTTGCTCGACGAAGAATGTGGAGTTGTGTCGTGGGCTGGGCGCTGATGAGGTTATTGATTACTCCGTTGAGGAGGATTTGGTCGCCACGCTGCGCGGGCGTGGGGTTGTCTTTGATCATATTGTTGATCATATCGGATACCCTGCGCCGATGTATCGTGAGTCGCATCATTTCTTGGCGGCTGGGAAGACATTTGTGCAGGTTGGTGCGTCGGGCATGGGGACTTTCGTTGATAGATTGATTTGGCCTGGTTTCTTGGGTGGTGGAAAGAGGAAGTATGTCGTCTTCTTCTTCAAAAATACTCGTGAGGATCTTGTGAAGATCGGGGAATGGGTGCAGAAGGGGGCTGTCAAGATTCAGCTGGATACTGCCTACGAGTTTGAAGATACTGTTAAGGCATTCGAGAAGCTTCGCTCTGGCCGTGCTAGAGGAAAGATTATTGTACATGTGGCTAAGCCGTGAGTTGAGATTCAAATGCAAATATTCAATCCTTTTAGGGTTTGGGATACTACATCTCCGCACCGAATCGGGAAATCATCACATCTCAGAAAGGCATAGTAACAACAAGCTTCGACGTAAACTTGACGATGTACCTGACTATGCGAGTGAAATAGAATAGTCTGTTCCCTTTTCCTTCTTCATTGCTAACATTCTACAATCATCGACAAGTCCAACGTCTACCGTTTGTTCAATATGCAATTGCTGTTATACACTTTTCTGGGTACATTTGGCATGGTCCCTATAGAAATTCGCCTGATGATATGGGAGTACCTCTTTTCTGCCCTTCGCACACAACCACGGAAGGGCAACCTGCACAAAGAAAACCCCCTGTCGATTCTTTGTACCAGTCAGTACCTCTATAACGAGATTTCGTCCCATCTATTCAACAACCCCGTCCAGTGTATCACACTGAGCCCGGAATATAATGAGAAAGAGTGGATGGCCATACGGTTGAAATCCAGAGCCGTAGAAATCGAGTGGGCACTTAAGGACAGAGCGGACGCCGAAAAGCATTTCCAGAGCTTCCCGCATTCCAAGACGGCTATGATAGTGCATATCAACCAGCCAGATCCAACAGACCCGGGCCAATTAGTGTTACTTTGGCAGAAAATCAACGCGCTAGCCGATCTTCTAATTCCCATCACTCGGCCGGATATAAAGCTGGCCACAAATGGTCCATGGCGTTTACCAGACCCACCAGCTTCCTGGGGATCAGACACGGATCTGTTTTATCGGATGGGGGCTCTACAAGAGTCAGTCCCGTTCGGACCCAAATACCGTCCTGACTACGACATTGCCATGTTACCCTTCCTTCGTCTAGGACTATGGGTCGAAGATCCCGCTACAAATGTACCTGCGATGTCAGACGATCAGTTCGGCATCTTACACCGATGCCTCTTGTCTTTATTCCATCAAACAGGGATCGAGCAAAGATTTGGAAAGCTCCTCTCTATGACCCAAGACACAGCCGTCCGCCAGGTCGAAAACGCACTCATTGAAACCGACTTGTTCTTAGAAACCAGGCTGGACGAGCTACCGGGCATAACAGCCCGTTTCCTTCGTCTTGAACGATACAAAAACTGGTTCATAGATGGGGGAAGCTGGGAATCGCCATATCTGACACAACTCGAAAAGCAATTATCTACCTGTCCCCGGGTTATCACGGACATAGATCCCTGGCTCGATCGATTGAGGGAGAGATACTTCGTTCTTATTCTACTCCACCATGCCATCTGTTCGCCCAGGCCAAATTTTTTGTACGGTGGACTTGGGAGATTTGACGATTCAAGAATATATACGACATGGGACTCGAAATTGTGGCTGGAGAGCTTTCCAAATGGCGTTCCGCAACTCAGTGATGTTCAAACCTGCCTTTTGAGGTTCTGGCGGCCGGGTAAAGACCTGTTTGGAAAATTCCTCGCCTATGCGGGCTGGTTAGCTCGACGAGCCAGGGAATTGGGGTTGAGGAATCCAAATGTCCAGCTATACGCCGTGTGACTTTTTGGGCCATTGAAGGTCTTCAAAGTTGGATCTATTGGTGGGTATTGAAGGTGACAGCATGTGTTTGATCTTTTGGTCCAGTTCATTCTTGGTGCAAGCCCTGGAGAAATATCATTTCCACCAGGCGGAATGATCCATAGGATGGGTTGATTGGAATATTGGAATATTGGAATCTGGTTTATGTGTGTTGTGCGAAGGTAAGGATACTGAAAGATCATGTTTTCACTATGAATTGTTTATGCCTATAGTTTCGGCAGAAAATCAGAGGCTCAGCCCATTCTTACTGCAATAGTTGACAAGTGACAACAATTTGTATTGTATTAAATAAGGTATATTTGAGAGGTGCGCCCGAATGGCTGTATGATAAATCCTAAATCCTCAGTTAGAGGGCAGAATGCTTCGAGGGATCTTCCTTCAAAGGCGCCGAATAATCATTATCGTCCATATCAAGCATTTCAATCCGGTGGGCCATGTTCTCCTGAGTCTGCGCCTCGATCTTCTTCTGCAACCGTTCATCTTCCTCAAAGCCATCCTGCCTATTCAGCGTATCACGGGCAGCAGATGATTTTCGGTCTTTAACACCGGCCTCACGCTCATTCTCCAACCGCTCCTTCTCTTGCCGCTTGTCCTCATCGGCAAGAGCAGCTTCTTCGCGTTCAATCTCACTGGGATCAAGGTCCTGAAGCCCAGTAAGGGTAAGAACCCTGCCAAGCAGAAACTGGTACCTCAGGTGGCCGCTGATCATTTCGCTTACGTTCAGGTTCTCAACACCTGGAACACCTTCAACTGGCTGCAATCCAGCGACACCGAGTTGAAGGCTGCTTGTTCGGTAGAGGAAAGCGAGTACAGAGTCATTCTCAGAGAACACGTTCACAACACGTCCGCTTACGACACTGCGAATCTTTTGCCAGTCCTCCGTGTCCGAAGGGGTGGGTGACCCCATCAAAATGACCGACTCGACCAGGCCGTAAGCATTTCTCCTTTCCAGACTTTGGAGGCAGGAGAAAATCAGCCGAGACCCAAGAGAATAACCCATCAGGGTCACGGGTCGTTCTCCCTGTGCTTTGTTGATCAGGGCATCAGCGAGAACCTCACCCGCTTTGTCAGCGCGGGCTTTGGCCACGCTGAACGGGTTGTCGACGACGCCAGCGACTTTCATGAGACCTAGGGGAAGCATCACCGCGCTCATGAGAGTTTGGAAGACAGTACGAGCCAAGACCTCACGCCCGGCAACCGACCATGCTGCGCTAGTCACAAGAGCTGAGATCGCGTTGCCCAAGTTCATCAAAGGTTCCATCTCCCAGCGAAGACCGAACACTTCAGAGTCGGCACCAATCACCCGCCATGGGACCACGAAGTTCGACTCCTCCTTAACCCAGCCGGTGACACCAATGGTCACTCGTAAACGATGATCTTGCTCAGCAGACTCCTTACCTTCCACATTTCGGCGGCGTTCTCCTCGGATCGGTATGAATGCAAAGTCGTCCACTTCACGGGCGTACTTCTCCATCATGCGACCAGTCATACGCCCGCCATAAGCGCCAAACAGACCACCGACAACGACGCCACTTCCGGCCAAAGTGCCCAAGAGTCCAGCAGCAGCGGTAGCGCCAAGGCCCAATCCGCCCATCACAGTTCCCAGGCCCGCCGCTACCAATGGAGCTGCGAGTCCGCCAGTGAGGCCAATCAAAGCGGCTCCAGCCACAGATGCAATGCCAACTTTCCATTTCCTCATGTCATCCTTTTTCTTCGGTTGTTCTTTGGTATCTTGGTCTGCCGAGAGCGCCAAAGCTGTCTGTAGCAATCCGCGGGCGACACTAACTTCGTCTTGATTGAGCGTGTTGATATCTATGTTCAAACTGGATGCGACATTCAACATCAAGACTCTTGAGTAAGCACTGTAGTGCTCTAGGCTGAGCATTAAAAGGAGAAGCGAGTGAAGAATAAGCAATCTTGTTGCTTTAGGAAGTTCAGCCAAGGGTGTTTCCACGGGGTGGTATATTTCTTGTAATTTGGCCATTCTATCTTTATCCTCATCCAGTGGAAGATCATCAGACTTGGCAGCGTTCTGCAGGTCTTCTTTGCCTTCCTTTTTCCCCTCGTCATCATCTTTATTGACGACCGTGCCAACCCGCAAAAGGACAGAATCCCTCCATTCCTCGAAAGCGGAGAGCGCAGTGACTTTTACTTGAGGGCTCGACGGCTTGCCATTAGAGCCCTGCCGCGGACTGCCGCCATTTTTCGAACCCCCGTTACCTTGCAGTCTTGGGGGCAAGGGTGGCGTGTCTTCATCGCGGTCTGCCTTCGGAGATGGATGTGGACTGGAGCGATTGGGAGAGTCATCCTTTGGATTTGTATGCTCATAAAGCTCCAAAATACGAACCCGCATTGACTCAGCTACCTCACCGACAAGGACAGTTAAGTCAGCACGCTGCGACCGGTCCAAGATCGATGATAGATCTTGACCGCGATCGCTTTCCGAAGCATTGGATTGCTTGGATTCGAAGAATCCCCCACTTTTTTCTTTGAAATTTTTGAACATTGGCGCCGAATAAAGGTGGAAAGGAGTGGACAAATTTTGAAGGAGCAAACAGGCGGAAGCCGATGTTGTTGCAGAGGGGCGATGCTGTCATGACCCCCGATAGTCACGGGTATCGGGGCCGCTTTATCCGCCAATAGCCTGAGGCAGAAACAGCTGAGCGTGTTGATATTACTCTGCTTTGCTTCATGGAATATTTGAGCCTCCTGAATATTCCAATGATGTAGAATCTTGAGGGAATGACTCAATTGCCGATTTCAACGACAAAATATTTCCCCTTTGTCTTTGTCGCGGACCGGAGCGCATTCCCATCCCAAGCTGTTCCATCCGGACGATCGTTTTTTTCACCTGGAACACGCTGGATTTTTCCCCGTCGCCCGGACACCCTTTCCTTAGCGAAGGCCTCCTTAAACCTTTCGATTCCAATCGTTTCCTCTTCCACGGCAGCGGGACTCTCGTCGCGAATTCTAGCTAGCGGCGCGACGCCGGTAGTATCAACAAGTTGGATTTCCTTCACAAAATGGATTTGAGACTCGAGTGTATCAAGCATTGACTGCTCTTCCTCTTGATTGGCAGGTTGGGGAAGAGCCGAGATGCGCAGCAGATGATGGAGTTGTTTTGGAGTGATTGATGGTGGCGGTTTGGACGCTGGGTTCGGGAGCAGTGACCTGACGGACCAGTTCGGTGCGCCAAGTATGGATTCGATGTCCGCACTGTCGGACTTCTCGGAAGAGTAGAAGCGAGAGAAAGTCTTGAGTCGGGAAGGACCTGGGCGCAGCGACTTGGATAGCCGAGCAGCAGTGCGAGGAGAGGGCATTGTAGAATCTCTGGGGAGGCGAACCTTTTCTGTGAGGAAATATAGGGGACTTGGTCGAGTGAGATAGAAGCACAGTCTAATCTGAACAGCACATATGTAGTCCAAGTCACCAAAGTTGTAGGTCAAGACCAGGGAGCTCAGGCGGATACCGAAAAATAAATGACACCGCCTCCACGGGCCCGCCGATCGATGCTCTCATCGATAGCAACCCCATTTGACCACAACAACCCAACTTCACATCGATTATCTGCGGACTACCCTATCGCAGGAAGTACAGATACATACACTCAAGATGACTCAAGATCCCCGTGTCCTGCTCCAGAAAGTACGCATGCTTCCCCGCCCTGTTTGCATGGGCAATGACGATAGTCCGCATAGCTGACCTGACCTCGCTTGTTGCGATAAAATAGGCCGACAAAGCGCTGTCCGGTGCCACTGGCGGCTTCAGTTGGTTCGGAGGAAGAGCAGAGAAGTATGATAATGCCGCAGATCTGTACACTCAGGCTGCAAATGCGTTCCGAGTACAGAAGCTGAGTGAGATACCCCGCGGCCTAGTCCGTTGCCTTGCAGTGGTTAAGCCAGATGGCTGATGCGTGTGTCCAAAAAGACAAGGAAGCTGGTCAGGCTTTTGAGAAAGCAGCCTCCATCCAAACCCAGAACCTCAACGAACCCGACGATGCTGCCAATAACCTCCAGGAAGCGTTCAAGGTCTACCGCAAGACAGACCCCGAGGATGCTGCCCGTGTGCTTTCCAGTGCCATTCAGCACTACGTACTACGAGGCAACCTGCGCCGCGCGGCAACACAGCAGCAGTACCTGGCTGAATTGTATGAGGTGGAGCTTGGAGATATGAAGAAGGCGCTGGAAGCGTACGAGAAGGCCGCCGAGTGGTTCGAGGGTGATAATGCTGAAGCGTATGTATCCCAGTATCTGTTTGATTTCTGTGAATTCGAGGGAAAGAGGTCGGCTGACATATACTTCATATGCAGCCTTGCAAACAAGCACTACCTCAAGGTGGCGGACCTGGCCGCCTTGGAAAGTGACTACTACAAGGCCATCAACAACTACGAACGCATCGGCCGGAGCTCTATTAACAACCACCTGATGAAGTGGTCTGTGAAGGATTATCTCTTGAAGGCAGGCATCTGCCACCTTGCCACAAAAGTATGTTGTTACCATCTTATTCTTTTCATAGGAAACAGAGCACTAAGTACCTATTCTTCAGGATCTTGTTGAGACCAACCGTGCTTTGGAATCATACCGGGAACTTGACCCTTCCTTTGGTTCGACAAGGGAGCACCAGCTACTCGTGGACCTGACCCAGGCTGTTGAGGGTGGTGACCAGGAAGGCTTCGCTGACAAACTCTTCCAGTTTGACCAGCTGAGCAAGCTGGACAAATGGAAGACAACCCTCCTTCTGCGCATCAAGAATAACATTGAGGAAGCTGAGGAGGACTTCTCGTAAATGGCGATTGATTTGTTCGGTGATTCCCCGCGCGTGATGTCTAGAGAATATTGACTCTCAAGTTTTTGGCTTCTTCTTTCGTCTGTTTATCTTGAAATTTTTCTGGTCTGGAAATGAGAACAGATCGATGCTACCATCCATCGGTTCTAGTTGTTTGGTTTGGCTGGCCTTGCTGGTGATCTTCATCACCCTTCACCTAGGAATATAAAATCCTTGAATCTGGCCATTCAGATACTATTGTTAAATAAGGAATCCAAGTGCAGAAGATTCGTAATTCATCATTTTAAGATGCCTCAGGTCTATATGTGCTTTTTGGGTGTATCATGCTCCCTTCAGAATCAGCAGAGCTGCCCTCATCATGTAATCAGTTCAGTCAAATGGTATCATATCATCCACCTCGCCAGTGCTATTGACATCGACAGTTTACGCAGCAATCGCATCCAAAGCCTTGGCCTTGCGAGGGAAGACGCGTTTGTACAAACTGACACCCACAGAATCTTGCGGGTTGATCTTGGCATCGAAAGTAGCCTTGAAGTATCCGTGTGTACCCAGGCTCTCCTTGAAGTATCCACTGCGGCCACGGCGGGTCCACAACTGGAGTGCCTTGAACCACTGGATATCCTCGGCGTTGAAGAACATGTACCGGATGGTAACGACCTTCTTGTGGATCTTGTAGGGGTGACCAGTGAGAATGGCACGTTTGGCAACCACACGCTTCTGATCGGGTGCGACAACAGTACCAGTACCGATCAGTTCGAGTTGGTCCAGGGCAATTGGCGCCTCCTTGGCATCGGTCTCCATCTCCTCATCACCGTCCTCCTCCTCGGCTTGCTTCTGTTTGAAGACAAGGATAGGAACTGAACCCCAGGTCATGGGTCCAATCCAGGAGGCGATGCAACTACGACCAGGGTGCAAGAATCGGTCGTATTTGTGAACGTTGTTCGGCGTGTTATCAGCCGTGGAGAAAATGGGGTTGACGACCATGCGGCGGGCACCGCACTGGACGACGAGCTGTTCCTTAGCCTTGAGGGGCTTCTCTACACTGGAGTTCAGGGTCATGCTAACGTTCACCACGGTCTGCTTGTGCTCGTGGCGGAGCAGAGAGAAGAGTGACATGGGCTTGGGGCTGTTTCGCAGAATGGAAGGAACTGCGCGAAGGTGAACATCCACGCGGAGACCAGGGTTGACGCCGCCGGCCAAAGCCTCTCGAATGATGCGGTTCTTGGAACCCTTGACATCAGCAAACTGCAGCAGTCGGCGCCAATCCTCGGGCTCGTAGGGACGATCTTCGGATGTTTCCCAGTGGCTGAGCTTGAGGTTCTTCAATCCACGGAACCGGGCCAGGCGTTCTCTGGCAAGCGTGTTGGGGTGCAATTCAATTTCATCGGGGAACTCCAAGTCCTCTTCGGCCTCGGTCTTGCGACTGGCACGGTAGTCGGCCAACTCCTGGGCCTCGTCCTCTGGGGAACGGTCGAGGAACATCTCCGATTGCGGATATTCTGAAGGAGCCCCCTCGGTCATGGCTTCATGGTGGTCTGGAAACACGCCATCCTCGGGTGCTCCGGCGGTATCCATCTCCATGGGCTCATCCTCATCCTCCATATCAGATCCGGAGTCTGAGACGTCTTCGAGATACCAGGCCGACTGATAATTCGAGGTACCCTTCGGCAGCTTCTTAGGTACGGGCGGAATGTGCGAGTCGTCATCCGAGAAGTAATGATAGTCATCCAACAGAACACCCTTCTTCTCTGTCTCAGCCATGGAAACCATGTCGTCATCCACCATTTCGATTTCTTCGGGGGCAACGGTAGCCATGTCATCCTGGTCCTCAGAAGGAGTATCCAAGATTTGTGTGGTCTCATTCCTGTCGACGGCCATTGCATCATCGCGCTTGGGCTTTGTGTTTGTTAGCGGCGCAGCTGTGATCGAGTCAACCTGGAAATCGCCCCATCCAGGGAGATGAACGATCCGGTCTGCCTTCAAGCCTCTTCCACGAACTACTCCGGTGACGACGACGTCGTCAACCACTTCCAGGTTGGACTCAGGCCACTGAACATTCTCGACAAACATCCAGCTGCGATCGTCACGCCAGCGGATGCCCTTAGGAGTAGCAGTGCAGATAGACCGGATAGCATTGGAAGATTCCTGTCTCGAGTCAAGAGACATAACCTTCTCAATGCCCGGGAAGAAGTGGTTAATGAAAGACTTCAACGAAGAAGCCACCTGGGGGCGCTTCTTAGGGGGGTCGATCCTGTCGAGACCTTGCACGACAGCCAACACATTTGAGATACCCTGGCCTTGAATTGAGCGCAACAGCATCTCTCCCTCCTCATCGACCTCAACTTCAGACGACATGACCAAGATGACAAAGTCGGCCATACGGCAAACATCCAGAGCGCTGATCAAGTCATAATTGGCGGGGACGTACTGCACACTTTGACGGAATCGATCGATGCGTACACGGGTAGGTCCATCGGGTGAGGCATCCGTCAACACATCGACACTCTCGTTGATAGAAGCAATAGCGGCTGCGGCGTCAATATCGGGGGACAGCGGCACAATTGCGACATGACGGGGAGCACCATTCTGGCCGGCGAAGATGCTGGTAGCTTGGGACCTTTCCTGGTGCTTCAATGCCTGCTTTTGGCGGGCGGTGTTACGGCGATCGAGTTTCGTCTTAAGCTGTTGGTGGGGTGTCTTACGACCGCCCCGCTCATCACCTTCGATTTTGCCTAGAGTGGTATAAGTCTTAAAAATGCATTATTTATTATGCTCAGGCAGTTCCGAAATCATACCTTTGGCCTGATCCTTCAAGGCGCTCTTGGAGGCATGCTTGCTCTTGTAGGGCTTGTGGGAAACCTTAGTGGTGGAGCGATGGTGGTGCACCGTCTGGGCAGGCGCCATATTGGCTTTAGAGCCTTTGAATCGGAAAGGGAGGGAGTCCAGATTGAAGCGAGTCAGAGGTAACTCGACAAATATACAGTCAGAGCAATTTATAAGGCGAATACACAGGAAAAAAAAACGAAAGTGCCTCTGTAGAAAAAAAAGGGCAACGATAAGAAATCAAAATTCGCCAGTGGAGGATAAGCGAGCGGTGAGCGCAAATCTTGGCGAAATTTTGGGCAAAACACTTTTTTTCTTAAAGCTACGCTTCTCGCCCGCCTTCTTATCTTCCTGAGTTCTTTCGCAAACGAAGTCGAGAAATTGCCTGAAAATGGCCGACTCAGCCTCTAACATGGCTGTCGCCAAGGGCGACAACGAAGCGAAGATGAGACTCGCAGCAGCCGAGCAAACCTACGGACGAGGCAAAGGTGCCAATGCGAAGAGTGCGCGGGACAAGAAGCTACGCGCAAATCTGAAGAGGCAGGAATTCAAGCACAAGGAGGCTATTATTCAAGCCAAGGATGCAGAGATATTGCTCGAGCACACGGAAGGATTCCTCGAACCCGAAGGTGAACTCGAGCGGACATACAAAGTTCGCCAGGATGAAATTCGGGACAGCGTTGGAATCGAGACAGCAAAGAAGGGATTCGAATTGAAGCTTCCCGATATGGGCCCCTACCGCATGGACTACTCTCGGAATGGACGTGACCTGCTGCTGGCGGGACGGAAGGGACATGTTGCGACGATGGATTGGCGCGAGGGCAAATTGGGCTGCGAGTTACAGTTGAACGAGACTGTGCGGGATGCCCGCTGGCTGCACAACAACCAGTACTTTGCTGTTGCGCAGAAGAAGCACACTTATATCTACGACCACCAGGGAACTGAAATTCATTGTCTGAGCAAGCACCTGGAACCGCTCTTCCTGGAATTTCTGCCATATCATTTCCTCCTCGCAAGCGCTGTGAGTATCTTCGATTCTTTGATTCCCTAGGTCCCTCACTAATCAGCTTTTTATGCAGCAAATGAGCGGTCACCTCAAATACACAGATACCTCAACCGGCCAAACCGTCGCTGAACTACCTACACGGTTGGGTAAACCCACCGCTCTCGCACAGAACCCATGGAATGCCATCCTCCATGTAGGACACCAAAATGGAACCGTGACCCTTTGGTCACCTAACTCCCAGACCCCTCTCGTAAAGGCGCTCGTGCACCAGGGACCTGTCCGGTCACTGGCGATGGACCGCACAGGCCATTACATGGTCTCTACAGGCCAAGACCAAAAAATGAATGTGTGGGATATCCGCATGTACCGCGAGGTGCATTCATACTCATGCTATCAGCCCGGCGCATCTGTGGCGATCAGTGACCGCGGCCTGACCGCAGTCGGCTGGGGCACCCAAATGAGCGTATGGCGTGGTCTTTTCGACGCCGCGCAAGCCGACCAAGGCAAAGTGCAGAGCCCATACATGGCGTGGGGCGGAGACGGACAGCGCATCGAGAACGTGCGCTGGTGCCCATACGAAGATATTCTTGGCGTAGGACACGACCAAGGATTCGCCAGCGTCATTGTTCCCGGCGCCGGTGAGCCCAACTTCGACTCGCTGGAAGCCAATCCTTACGAGAACGTGCGACAGCGCCAGGAGCACGAGGTTCACTCGCTGCTTACCAAGCTTCAGCCGGATATGATCTCGCTCGACCCCAACATCATTGGCAAGCTCGACACCATCAGCGACAAGAAGTATCAGGAGCAGCGCAACCCGGACCACAAGCCCGAGGATCACATGGAGAAGATCAAGAACCGAGGTCGTGGTCGCAACAGTGCCCTGCGCAAGTACCTCCGCAAGAAGGGTGGCAAGAACGTCATCGACGAGAAGCGCGTCAAGGCCGAGACTTTGCGCAAGGAGTATCTTGCTCGTACGAAGGACAAGCTCAAGCAGGAACGTCAGGATCTGGGGCCGGCTCTGTCCCGGTTCGCCAAATGAGATCACTGAGTTTGTTTCTTGCTTCTGTGACATCTCGTGGAGCAGTAGAGGAACATCTCTACCCAAAACCACCCAGATACCCAGCCCACACGCGGCTTCTGTGACATATTGGAGATTTGGCGACAGCTGCAT